AAAAAAAAAAAAAAAAGAAAAAAAAAATCTCAGAGGGAAGTCAAGATACATTTACTTGTCAGGCAACAAATGTGAAAGCATTGCAAGGCAGTAGGGGCTGTAAGCTCTGGGGTTTGATTCATAATCACTCAGCTGCTAAAACATTCTCCACAGATGCAAGTGGACAGCACATTTGTCAATATGAAGGATTTTGACACGTACTGATCACAGGCGTGAGATATGTAATGATGATGCTGCTGGGAGAAGAGGTAATTCTATCTCGGCACCGAGATGTCATTATCAACCCATACAACTCAACATTACCATATATTTCTTTTAATACGACTTCATCTTTTTCTTTAGTCGGAATTGATTCTTAAAGCTTTTACGATAGTCTTGCCGCTGCCTTTAATTCCTTCTAATTGTTCCCCGCAAGAATTCTTCTATTTTGCAATTGCGGAAAAGAAATGGTTAGAATGAAAAATGACCTTTGGCCTGCGGGCTGATTAGCAGTGACAAGACAGTGCATGGGTTATGATAGCACATATTTATGGGGAAGAATAATAAGGCATTGAGAAGTGTAATAAATGTTTTATTTATGTATATTTAATATTCAAGTCAGTTTCATTATCTGGTGGGTTTAAATCATTTTTGGATCGCCATTTCTCATGTGCACGGTCCCCTACAGTAATATATTAAAGCAACTATTTTCCCCTTTACATTTAAAATGGCTTAGTCATGCTTATTTTTTTCAGTTCTTATTTCCAGGATTTTGCAGAGGAGAAATTGAGACCAATTCTTCTCTAATGTACGGCGACGCAGCTCGGTGCTGCCTCCAACACTGCCTCCAGGATTACATCAGTCCCAAAATAGGTATGAAATCAGCATCTAATCTTAAATCCCTCACTCAGAGGAAACACAAGCACTTCCAATTATTTTAAAGTATTACTCGCTTTCCAAAATTATGTTTCTCGCCATAGGGATTACTATTGTGTTTGTTGCTTTTTTTTTGTTTTGTTTTTAAGAGACGGATCCATGTGGTCACCTGGTATGATTTATGTTTTTCAAGAAGTGCACCAGGAACAACAGGAAGCGCTCGGCCCCGTGCCTTTGCTGGTACGAGTTGGTGGCACCCCACTGCTGCCAGGATAATTACAGCAGTTACGATCTGCTGGAGACAGGGCTCACGAGAACCAAAATCGGGGCATTTTCTTAAGAAGCCCTGGAGCGTGCTGGTGCTCGAGGCCTTCAGGATGTAACTCCCTATTGCAAGATGGGCACCTGGGTAGCATGGGCTTGTTACAGCCCATAAACACTGCCATCCCAGACCCACAACACTCTCCATGACCTAATATTCAGGGAGACAGCCCCCACTCATCAGTCCAGTTGCAAAACCTTAACTGGGCAATATGAAATCTGGGGGCTGTTGCGCTGAGGACTAACTCAGGCACCGAAACCAAGCAGGAATTATAAAACCTGCGACATGAGCTTTTGGGAAACCAGGACCCCGGTATCAAGCAGTGGCCCCAGGGGATGCGCAGGAGGGCGGGCAAGGGACAGACCTTCTCCCCAGTGTCTTCTGCCAAGAGGTGCAAGAGCCTTAATTGGAGGGCACATCCCAATCATGGTGTTGAGTGGCCATTGGTGGCTGCGGCTCCCATTCATTTGGCTGAACCCTTTTTGAATCCATTTATATTTTTGTCGAGGAGAGTTTGCCAATTTAATTAGGTGCATGTGAAAAGATACTGGCTTTTGTTCCTTCTAAGCCTTTTGCCTGATAATTCAGCTGGGTGCCCCTCATTTTTTTTTGGTATTGTTAAAACTAATGAATAACCATTTCTCATTCAGGTTCTGCTCACCATTCATGGTCTCATAGAGCTGGGGCACAGCTCCCTCGGGCATTTCTTTTCCAAGCTGAAAAAATCAAAATCTACTTAAGTCTCATTTTGTGTGGAATCTGTTCCCTACCTCTGATCATCATTGTTGCACTTTTCTGTGTCTTTTCTAATTCTACTACGTCCTTTTTGAGAGGGCCTTCAGCTGTATTCAAGACCTGAAAGCAGTATAACATAATGATGTTTGCAATTCCTTTCTGCTAAGCACTCAGATGATATTTTCATAAAACTATTGACTTCAAGATCTTTTTCCTGAATGACACGAGTGAAGAGTCACACTTTTCCCTCAGTATTACTGGGTACTCACTGACATTGAGTTTTATTGCTATTTTAATCCCTGGTGACTCAGCTTTCATGTGAATCTTCACTAAAATCTTCATAGTCAGCTTTGGATTTAGCTATTCTCAATAAATGGCCACAAACTCTGCTTTTGCCTGGTCACCCTTCCTCCTTTGTCATATGCAGACATATGCCACAGCTCAGATCCCAGTGACGCCCCTAGGTGGACTCGCTGACAATCTTCAATGACTGTAAAAATCACTAATTTATTCTCACCTTTTTTTTCCCAAGTTTTTTTATTTTTTGACTAATTATTAACTCAGGGGATGACTTTCCCTGTTCCGCAATGGAACTCCCTCTTTCAGCTGAAACACGACCAAAGTAGCTCTTACTCCTTCAAAATACCATTACTGCTGATGGTAAAGCAAGACTTGCCTCCATACAGTTGTGTTGACCATGGAGATGCTCCCAGCCAGCAATCCACCAAACTCCTGGAGCAAGCTGTTAGTGATAGCATCTGTCCTTGGGGGTTAGGTGGGTGCTCGTGGCCACCTCATCTCTCTGGGGATGGTCCCTGGGGACCACCAGGGAGGGAGGTGTGCGGCTCAAGTGCTGGGCAGTGCTTTCGGGAGAGGTCTGAACCCCAGCCGAGCACCCAAGGGCTGCGGCGATCCCTGAAGGGGGCAAGGGGAGGAAGGCACCACTTGACCTGAAGGAGGGGATTAGTGTAATTGCCGTGTCCATGGAGAAAGCTCTCCAAGGAGGTAGGAGAGCAAGAAGATCCTATTACGTATTTTACATACAGCTATTGCCTTATGGACAAGTCATGTCTGCTCCTAATCTGAGATCAGTGAATGACAGTATTTTATATAGAACAGTAACTTTTGATTTACATATATGAGAGTTGTTGATTCTATCTGCGTCCAGATGTCTGGAAAAGGAAGCAGCTTCCCCCCCCCTCCCTCCGGCTCCCTGAGAGGCTATTAACCTCCGACTGACGCAAACTAATATGCAGTCGCAATTCCCCAGCTCCGACTCAAAAATGCAGACATTACCATAATCGGCTAAAACAAGTATTTATAAACATTTCAACAGGCAAGATATCATCAGCAGGGGCCTTGAACATTTGTCTTAAAATTTATTAACCAACAGAAGAAGAAGTGGCATAAATAAAGCAAAGGTTTGTTGTTGCTGCTTTTTAAGAATAACCTGATGATATGAAATAATCTAGCAGACAATGTAATGAATTACATGACCTCATGTTTTACAAACGCGACTCCTTCATTGCTATTATCGCAAAAACAACTGACTTTATGGCTGTAACTCATGGGAAAAAAATTGTTCAAATGTTTGCTTTCTATTTTTACTAGCGTTATTTAGAGAAATCTTGAAAACCCAACTACTAAAGCCCAGGATTTTTTCCTCCCCAGTTCAAGTTATAAGGCTTTCTCTAAATTTGTGAATGTGTTGTCTTGAAACTGCGTGTATTTGGACACCCAGCCATGGAACTTGGCTGAGCTACAGTCACGTTCACGAGACCTATCACACGTGGCTGAGCTTTATGAAGCAGTAGCGAGAAACTCCTGCTGATCTGCAGCACAGCTCCAGAATAACTCTATTTGTATGAATGCAGCTGGTGAGGATTTAGCTGATCTGACAGAACGGATCGTGTCCTGAAATAAGCCCAGCTAAAAGCTTTGCTAATGCACTCAGCAAATTTCATTTATTTGTAAAATTATTCTAATTATTTACAGCGATACTCCATAAAGCTACTGCAAATGAAGCCTGAACCTTTTTATAGCAACCTTCTCTTGATGGGACCAGAAGGGAACGAAAGAGTCTACAGACTAAATAAATCACAATCCATTCAAGACAGGGTGTTGCCCATTGATTTGCACTGTAGGGTTCCTGCCAAACAATGAAAAACAATCTGAAAATGATCTTGAAATATATGGCACACGCTACTGTGAAGTGAGATAGAAAGGCTCATGTCACATATTCAAATCTCTCAAGATGAAGATTCGTCCATGAATCAGCATCCTGCTCTAGGTGCTTGATGGTTTAAATACCTGTTTCTGCTGCAGCTGCTCAAAGCGCTAGCACGGCCAGGAGATGTATGCTTACAAAGAAAAGCAGGATGATGGAAATCTGAGGACCAAGCCCATGTCAAGGAAAGCAGACAGAAGAAATGGACTGCACTGGGTTACTCAACTTCCCAAATATGCCCAAGCAGAGCCACTTTTCGGAGAGCAGAGGATTCAGGGTGCCCGGGCCAAATCTCAAATCCTACCACAGCCCCTTCATGTGCTACACTGAATGCCCTCTACTGCAAACAAAACATTTGGGAACCACCTCTTGCGCTCTACCTGTCTGGCACCTAACCCTACCTCCTAGCCGTTGAGCTCACACAGCATCTATGGGTGCTTGCAGGAGTCCTTCAGTGCCTGCTTAGCTCTTTGCATCTCAGGATCTTAGTGCATCTTTTACAGCTGCATAAACCACTACTTTGCAGGAAGAAAATGGGATTAAAAGCCACGTGGATGCAAAGCAAAGGTCCATCGCTGCTTCTGAAGCAGCGCCTTTGAGGGCTCCCGCACGAGCCCCATACAGAGACGCACGTGGGAAAGGGTACGCAAAGATCCCAGATCTCGTTTTGTGAAATTCTGGCTTCATCTTGTGAAAGTAGTCCACGTCTCACTGCGAGTGATGAGCGAGAGTGAGTCAGGACCCAAGCCACAGCTGGCTGGCTCCAGCTCTCCCCTCCGAAGCCCAAAGGTTGGGAAAAATCTGGGACAAGTATTTATGGGTTCAGTGCTGCAGCTGAGGAGCCAGCAATGCAAGAGCAAAACACGGTGTTATTTGAGTTGCATCTGCAAAAGCAGTTGCTGGGGCTCTTTTTTTTTTTCTTCATGAACAATTTAGACATATTAAAAATAAAGTTTTACAAAAATAGAAGAGCAAGCTCAAATTTATCCCATAGTACTACAAGCATCATTCCTGTTCACGTAAGGTGGACGATGTAAGTATACACACAGGACAAATTTGACCCAAACACGGCAAATAAATGGGTGTTTTCTTTGTGCTTTACGTACAGCAACGAGCAATTAAGCTCAAAACTTCAAAGCTATTAAGTTGACTAACGCCCGCTGAAGTCAATGCGAGACAGAAACGTGAAGTCCTCGGAGGCTCTGTATTTTAATGTCTCGAATGCAGATTAAATATTTATAACTATTGCAATCTAACAAGATTTCAGCCTGAAAATTTCACTGCAATCTCTGAAGGAAACGGCTTGGAACAATTTCAGTTAAATATAAACAAAACCTGCATTTTGAAACCTTCACTCAGGTAGAGCTCCCATTGCCTTCACCAGATAAAACCGGCAAGATTAGGTGGTAAAAATAAAGCCAATTTGACATAAGAGGATATTTATCCGCTACAGCTACAACGCACTGTAGGAAAGTGTGGCATGCTCTGTAATTGAGTGGGAAGTTATCTTTCATATTATATTTTTCTTATGCAATTTATTTCACAATGATTAAATCAAAAATATAAGCAAGGAACTTACCCAAATTCTTTGATCAGGCAATTGGAACTGGGAGCAAAATTGAAACAAAAACAACACATTATTCCTGCGTTGGAACCCTCATTGCAATCAATCTACTAATTAAAATGTTATTTAAAGATACTAATTAAGATGTTATTCTGAAGGATTTGTTGCATCGGGGTATTCCCTCCCTAAAAATACAATCCTTGTAATGGCAAATTATTGTGAAATACCGTTAAATGATCTAATTTTCATAGCTTTCAGGCCACTGCCACTGGGAGGAATTTTGCCCAGGCAGGGACAGGGTAAGGACTGCAGGGTTTATGATTTTAATCTACTTCAGAAACCTATTTTGAAGATCCATCTGTTAGCTGTCCTATTATCCAGTCCAAAAAAAAATACATTCTTGCTTCATCAGATGGCAAGTTTCAGAAATAAATTCACTTACAGGAACACACACTTGTAGGACACAAACCTTAATTTTGTTCAGATTTTACACCGATAAATCCTGCCAGCAGAAAATTAAAGCTCGAGGTGCAATCCACACCTGCACTTTTACAGGGGTGAACAGGACTATAAAGAACAAAACAGCTTTTCTGCAAGCCGTTCCCCAGTCCTCCATAAATACCAAGCCAAATTCTGCCTTTGCAAACAGGGGACTCCTTTCTATTAAAATCAGCAAGAAAGCAGATTTTGGCATTTACTCGTTTGACAGGACATGTGATGGTGGTTTAGGGTTTTTTTTTTACAATGAATTAAGAGTGCACGTTACACTCATGACCTTTGTCTCCATCCATCTCACACCAAGTTAAGGACGTTATCCCTAGCCGCTACATCAGTGAGAGAATCACAGAATCGTTTAGGTTGGAAAAGACCTTTAAGATCATCAAGTCCAACCATTAACCTAACCCTGCCATCCCACCACTAAACCCTGTCCCTAAGCGCCATGCTTCAATAAGACGAAAGCCAGTCTTTACCACGGATTTTTTTTTTCTATTGCACAATGAGAAACATGGAGGAGCAGGCAGAAAGGCGTAACGGGGCATATTTGAGTGCTCCCGTGCAGGGGTTCAGCAAGGTGGGTACACAACTGGCCCTCCTGCCTGCCGGAGGGTGCTGGCTCTGCCCCACCTCGGCTGCCACCGCAGTAGGGAGGTGGCACACAACACCTCCCGCTCACACCAAGGGACCCACTGACCACACTGGCGCCTTCCTCGGGCTCCAACAATAGATTTAACCAACTCTGTGTGAAAAAACCACGAGGGGTGAAATCCCGACATCCTGCTCGCTACTGGCAAAACCCCTGATGTCTCCATTTCACCTGCATGCCTATGGCATCCTTGCCTAACTCCCATTAACCCTCCTCCAGTTCCCCACGTAACTCAGAGTCATACAACGCCACATCAACGAGTACCCAACTCCCTCCCTGCCCACCACCACCAGCTCCTAATGGTGCATTTTACCCAAACAGCCTCCTTTCCCACCCGCTGACCACGCTACCTACTGCCGTCATCAGACCAACCTGTGGCAAAACCTTCAGAGCCTCTTGATCCAACTTCGTAAGACCTTCTGAAAAGCTAGTGAGCACTAAGCAAAATAATATCGTTTCTTCCATCGACACAGTACCCAAAATGCCCTCACCAAAATAATTTACTCTTACTTCACAGCCCCTTAGCTGCTCTAACGAATCGCTCATTTGATGGAGTGGGACCTGCCCGGTTTCACACCAGGGGACACGAAGAGGATTGAGCTCCTGTTGGCGTATTTGTGCATTAGGACTATCTGCTACGAAATGGGAATTTTTACTTGTGGCTTTGCAACTTGGGCAAATAAGGTAACTCAGCAAGAGGTGCTGAGCTGCATTAAATCCTTTACATAAATTCTCCATAGTTTTAATACTTAACAGACCCTTCACTTCCTACAGGCATTGGAACTGGACGTTTTTCTGCACTCTCCACCCATGCAATACCATTATGTTTGTGATTCTGTATACACAGATGTATATGCCATCAGCTGCTCTCCCCAGTTCTCCACAAGTCCCGTATTTCAGAATATATTCCGTACAATTTAGGACATAATAACTGTGGTCTTCATTGAAAAAAAAAAAACAACCAAATTGTAGCAGATTATTGGCCTGATTATTGGTTTGCCCAGGAATCAGAGGAAGCTGAACCAGAGACAGCAGCTCCTGGCTGTGTGTTTAAAATACAAGACTCACATGGGTGGTCATTAGGATGAAACAGCTTGCAGTCAGCAAGGGGTTCAACTTTGCAAATACCACAGAGCATTTTACTTCAGGCGTAAGGTTTAACCCAATTTTTTAGGAAAACCTCCTTAAGCAAGGAGAAGGAAGACAAAATGAGGGTGCAGTGCTGTTGAAGAAAAGCAACGTATAGTTTGCATACAGGTCCTCTTTCTATACTACATACACATTACAGTTGTACACCGTTTTAGCGAGACCCTCCTGAATTTTTGTTAATCAGCAAACAAGCAGGATTATGTCCTACAAACACGACAGCAGCCCTCTCATATAGCATTTCTTCAGGCATGGAGGAGCAGGGATCCTACAAAGTCATTGCACACGCTGTAGCCCACAACAGCTACCTAAAAGACATGGAGCATTTGCATTATGAGACTTGAAAACATTGGGTGGAAGGTTTTAGCTTTTGTCTGGGAGTCCTTAAGTATTGATAACTGGAATGCTCAGCTTTGCTGGCCTGACTCTGAATCTACATCGTCTCCTTGTAGTCAATATTGACTCCACTGCAACAGCCCAGAGCACAGGAGAGTGCTGAAGAAGACATGGGTAGCTGCAAGTGTTGGTAGCTACACTACGTTTTGGAGGAACACGGCTCTAAAACATACATGTAGTTTGAATCTGGCTTCCTTTACAATCAAAACATGTTGTTTCATCTGCAAAACATCAAGAAGCTCAGAACAATGCTTACGCTTTTCCACCACAATGGTGCAGCAAAAACTGTGTGGTTTAGGAAATCCAAAAATGACTAAGACTGCATTCATTTCTCTGCACCTGCTTTGAAGCATCAGCAGGCTTGTTTACAACATCAAAATTCCCAAAATACTTACTTGTGGATGAAACAAGAATCCCGGGGAAGGTCTCAAGTATTTCTCTTTTAAAGCTTCCAGTGGGTCAGTTAACTTTCTTTTCTCTACTCTGTAAATGTTAAAATTAGATTTGCTTGTGATGAATCAGTCTCAGATATTAATAATTATACAGTTACTCATGTTTAACATAGTCAATTATACATCAAGTGATTTGTTCCTCAGAGATAACGGTCAGAGATAAGGAAGTACAGTCAACTCTCGATTCCCGCACACAACTCATTGCTGGCTGGGGGCTGTGAATGGCCATTAAAGGGAGATTATACCATTTACATAGGAAATAACCCCATTTCAAAAGACTGGTAATAATTAGCATAAGAACCAATGACTAACTACCGAGCGCTTTTATGAAGAAATAAGGCAATTGAGTGTGCTCTCCACTCAGAGGAGAGGAATTCAAGGCAACGGGAGCCTTGAGCAATGGGTCCCTGCTCATCAGCCCACCTGAGACATCCCAGCCGCCATCCTGGAAACCTCTCCTTGCCCATGGCCATGCTCAAGCTGGGCAAGCCAGGCGGGCTTGTAGGAACGCACGGAATCTGGTAGGCCAGCAACAAAGGCTGCGATCAACTCACGTGGGCGTTTAGGGAGCGAAACACAGCGCGGGTAATTCAGAAGCAGTGTGGAAATTTGAGGTTTTTGCTTTTTCTGTTACTGACGTGTATGGTTTAAGGGACAGATCCTGTTGTCCACACGTAGCTGTAACTCATAGCAAAGGAAGGCTCAGTAACAACCGGCCTCGTGCTACGCTGCCAGAATTTGTACAGATTTCATTGGTGTGCAATGCAGGACCATAAGACACGGATCATTATTTCCACTGCTTCAGGCATTTAAAAATAATATGACGCAAAGAAAACCTCTGGTCTAATACAGATATCAATCTGGCACGAATAAAACCATCTCAGTAAATAGCATCACATCCTGCTTCTTCGTAATGCATACCTGTTGTCTGATGCGAGAGCAGTCTCCAAAAACTTTGCCCACAGCATTTCTTTTTTAGATAAAGTAATAAATTAACATCAAATTTACATGGCAGTAACTTTTTTTTTTTTTTTTAACAATAGGCTGTAAAATCAGTCATTTATGTTACAGACAAGTATGTTTATGGCTAATATTTCTCTAAACTAATTTAGATGCAAGACTTTGGCTGGTTACAGGTATACAAGCAGAAAGGCAAAGGGCAAAGCTGACGTATGCAGGACTCATGCGAAATCCAGACCCCAGTGAGATCCACCACGGCATTACTGGGAAATATCGAGGGGTCAGGATTTTACTGCTGGTTTTTAAAACCTCAGCTCACTGACAGTGCCTGCTTACACACCCGTCGAAGCCAACGACAAGGCTCCCACCAATTTCATGCGGTGGATCAGATTAATCAGCCCACTGGTTTGTGCACGCAAGGACACTGCACCTTCAATTATATTAATGAAATGCCCAGATATATCAACCCATGGCTCCAATCAGTGCAAAAAAAGGGCAGAAATCACTGGGTTTGTACTTTTTATACAACTTCGGACAAATTCGCTTCTTTGTTGTACTTATGAGATACTGCTACTTAATTCGGGAGGAACTAAAAAAAAAAAGGTGCTGTACAACCAGCACCCTGGTGAGATGCTCTCCAATTTCCAGGGGAAGGCAGAGGGCAGTAAAGGCACGTGGGCAGCATTTTGGAAGAAAAGGGATTTGGGGCAAATACACAGTCAATATACAAATATTCAATAGGCCAATTCATTTCTGGGTAAGAGAATACATTCAGCTTCTGCATGTCAAGCTGCGTAGGTAAAAACTAATGGCTCGCTGCAGCGAGGGCAGTCGTGGAGGCTCGCTAACCCCAGCATCACCGGCCCCGGGTGTGCTCTGAGCGGCCGGGATTGGAGGCGGCGTGCCCAGGTCAGCACGCAGCCGGGGCCACCCCATGCCCCAGTGGTGGGCTGATGCCTCCAGGGATGGTGGGATGGGAACGGGGTTGTCCTGCACCTGCGGGCAGGTGGCCCTGGCAGACCTAACGCCTGTACCAAAGGATGCCGAAAGGCAGCAGATAGTCCGTTACCTGTAAATGGGATCCATAAAGAACGGGGTGGGCCTGGCGTGCTGCAAAGAGGACTCCGATGCTTTCCTTTGTTCAAGGTCGCCTCCTTTCTTTTCTCCAAAGACGTGGTTTTTCCGAGGCTCGGCTTGTTTTGTGCCGCTGGCTCGGCTTCTGCTGCCCATGCTGAGATCTAGAGGCTGGTCCTGGCTTGCTGCAGAGGGGGCTGCTGGCTTTGAGGGTATGGGAGTAAGTGGCTTCTCCTCCTTACGCTTTATGGTGAGGTCAAAGGGAGACTCAGAGCTTCCCTTTGGGATCTTCTTTATTTCACTGGGTGATTGGGGCTCCACTTTCAAGGGTAACGGTCTCAAGTCTCTATCAGGAAATGGATACATTGATTGAGAGAATGCTGGAAAAAATGGGAGGGGAAACATGGAAGGGTAAGGTAAGGCTCCGACTTTTTTGTCTTGCAGCCCCACAAGTCCTGTTGAACCAAAGTACTTTTCAGCAATAGAAGCAATAGCCTTTATAGAATCATTCACCGCTCCTGACACCGCAGTCTGCTCCTCTAAGGATGGTGAGAAAATGGAATGATTGCTGTGGTCTTTCTTATTATTTATTGAAGCCAGGCTCTGCAGAGAGCTTACTTTGTCTTTGAACATTTTACCATTTTCTTTAAATTTCTCTTTCTCACTTTCAATGTCACTTTCCAGATCAGAGCCCGAGGTGGTTTCCAGGTCACTGCCACTGGGGGTACTGACATCGTCAAGGTCAAGGTCACTACTCTCTGACTGGTCACTGAGTTTCTCATGCGGCCTCTCTTCAGAGGACCTCTCTGGTTGAAGCTCCACTGGCTTATTCTCCCCTACTGATGGTTGCTTATTTAGTGCCTTCAAAATATCCTGGGTGGCTGGCAGTATCTGAGGATTTGTCATGAGGGGACTTTGACTTTTGTTTGTCTGATCTGCGCTCGGTAGTCCTTTAACAGGAGAACTAGTAGGTAGCAAAGGTGGCCTGTGGTACAAGCCTGAAGGGAAGAGACCAGGGAAGCTAAAAGAAAATCCAGGAGCTGTTGGAAAGGTAAGACCAGCAGGATGCCTATTGGCTCCAAAATAGTCAGCAAGGCCCGGATTTGCATGATTCACATTAACCATGGACGTTTTATCCATAGCTGGGGTTCCAGGAAGTGAAATGCCTTGGCCAAAAAATCCTCCTGCTGCAAAATGGTTCTTGCCCTCACAAAATCTCCTGTGTTTATTTAAGGAAGACGTAGTGCTGAACATTTGTCCACAGTCTTTGCACTTGATTTGGGTTCTGCAATCAGCATGCATGCGCTTATGACGACAAAGGTTTGAAAACTGAGTATAGGATTTATGGCAGACCTCACCTGTATGTAAACAACAACAACAACACATCTCAGGCTTTATGGTAATTGCCCCCACCCCCAAAATTTTGCAAATAACACCACTTTTTCACCCGCCAAATGTCAGTCAGGAAGCCGTAAGGAGAAGTCTGGGTGCACAAATGTAGGAAAACCTATTGTACTCTTCCAAAGCAAGGCATCCAAGCAGACAAATGTCTAAAGGCAACACCAAAACCCACTCCAACAAACCAGAAAAGGTCCGAAATCACTAAAAGACAAAGTTTCCTTATTTGCTTTTTGCATTGCACAGTGTTGCATATTCGGTACCATTATTCCACATTGCGTTAGCACCCAGAGCCCCGCCGAGAGCCGCGGCTCGGTGCTGTTACACTGTATGAACCCATGGTGCTCCTGTGTGAGCGAGCACCCATGTCTTCAAATGACATCCATTTATATCACAGTTCACATGTGGAAAGTTAGTCGTAAAAACAAATATTCAAATATTTGCGGGACCAGACAGGAGACAGACAGAGCTGCCTCACAGAGCTTTCAGTCTGCAAAAGCACGAGGATATGAAAGAGGTGAAGGAGGAGACAACCAGGTATTTCCAAGTGCTTTACCTTATTAACAAACAATATTTTTTTCCACTTACAATTAAGAATTTCATCTCATGGAAGTCCAGGCTAGAGCCTGAGTAACCCCCTCTCATATGTCCAAACCATTTCTAGTCGTGTAATGCATAGCGTCCCTACAGGTGCCTAGGATGCTGTAACTAAACGCTATATCTTAATAACTTTACTAGTCTTCATATTGCTTATTTGTCTCTCACACAGGAAAAAATACACTACATTTCAACAACAATTTCCTTTAAGAATACAGCTGTATTTATTTGCGAGTCCGACGCTCAAAAACAGCTCCATGGATTTCCTTTCGGACTCCTCTGGGATGAGAATAGCTTCAGCCTCACAAAAGAAGCACTGGGAAAAAGCCCAAAAACGTGGAGGGGAGAGCTCAGCCTTGAGCTCATGGGCCTGCCCTAGCCTGCGCCGCTTGGCATGGCAGAGGATGGCTTCCAGCAACCATTTTCGGAAGCAGGAGGCTGAAAGTGGTCGTGGTGGTGCAGAGCGAGACGCTCGGATGTGTGAATCGTGTCACTGAAGCAAACAGGATTTTGCATGTCCCCGATTTTCTGGCTGCTACAAACCTTAGGGAGCCAACTGGGGCAGCCACCAAATTATAGGTCCCCAAGTTAAAATGTGGTTTCAAAGGGGATAATGCTCAGCTCCCCAGTGCCTTTTTATGCCCCCTTTTGTCATCCTTTGGACGAGCAGGGGCATCAGGCAAGTCCTAAGGCTGCACTATGGCTTGTGCTCTTCATTAGGCTAAAGTGTGCCCACACCTCCGCACTACCTTGCTTTAACAGTATCAGCTCCAGCCCTGTTTAAAAGCAAGGCAACAGCACTATCAGTAAGCAGTGTTATCCCTCTGTAATAAATCCTTTTTTTTTTTTTTTTTTTTTTTCCGGCCAGGAAAAAGCATATGGCCCCTTTATTTTTATTTAATTTGTGTTATATCATAAGCTCTCATCTTTCACACATCAAAGCCACACAACAATACACATTGTGTATTCTGAGGCCTTTTTAACAATCATTTTCATGATTTGAGACAGACTGACATAATTTACAATGGCTCTATTTTAAGCCTGCAAAGGAAACTGAATTGAATGTATCCCATCCTGCACCCTCGGTTCCCATGAACTGCAATCACGTCCTCTAACTTCCACTCGCACCGGGGCCCGCGCTAACCTTCCTGCTCCTCTAAATCTCTGCCCTTGAGAAACTTGACCACTTGTTGTCATCTCTTAACTGTTTACCTCTTCAGCAGGCTGCTTCATATCTCAGCAACAATGCTCCTATTGTTCCAGGGCCTGATCCTGCCTGATCCACCCCTCTTCCCTGTTCACGTCCCGTTGACATCCCCGGGACAATTCGTGGGGTAAAGAGTGCAGAATTGGGCCCAAACACAGGAAATTTGCAATGCGGTAATTCAGGAAGAATGTTTTGTTGCTGTGTATCAGTTACTGTTCCTGCTGGATATCTTCATTCACAAGGAAAGACAAGAAAGAAAAGAGAGAAAAAAAAATATAAAATAAAAAAGAAAGGAGAAGAAAGACGGAAAAGGAAAGAGAGAAGGGAGACAAGAAGGAAGAGAAGAGAAGAGAAGAGAAGAGAAGAGAAGAGAAGAGAAGAGAAGAGAAGAGAAGAGAAGAGGAGGAGAAAAAAATTAAAAGGAAAAGAAAAAGAAAATAAAAGAAGCAAAGAAAAGAGATAAAAAGAGAAAAGAATAAAGAAAAGACAGGAGAAAATAAATTAGTCTAGCTCCTTGCAAACACTTGATTTTCTCTTGATAAGCATCTTCTGCTTCTTTTTTTGGAAAATATTTTATTTGCCTATTTAACATCAAACTATTTTTTATTTAATATAGAACTATTTGTTTATTTGTGGGAGTATGAAGCTCTGATTTTTCTGCTCTTTTCGCCCAGTTTTAGCTTAATCACAGGTGTAAGGTTTGTGCTCCCCCAAAGCAAAGTCACCTCCATGCTTCATGGTTCAGAATCAGGCCCCTTACCTTCACTGCTGAAGTCCTGCACAAAAACCTCCCCCTGCTCCCTGCAGGTTGATCACCAAAATCAAAATTGAACTGGCCCAAATGGTGTCTCGAGTGACATATCCATGGGTTTGCAGAAGTTTCATCTTGGATATTATGGGCTGACTCCTCCCCTTGTGTAAAGCAGGGTAACTCTTACCAACACTGACGGAGTTATGCCCGGCACACAGCAGCAGAGCATCAGACCATATATATGTTTCCATTTAAAAGAATCTCCCATGCATACATTCACAAGACTAGGCTAATGTATAATTAAAAACAAATCACGTTTTGGGAACTTTTGATCTTCAACCAGGTATTGTTGAGGGCCTGCTTCTTATTCCCATGACTGCATTAAATGGAACGCTTCCCTCAGGGAGGCGAGAGTGGTGAGCGGGTGGGAAGGGGTGTATGGGCACAGACTTGGTCTTCCTAAGGTTTGGGAAGTTCTCCCTTAAAGAACATCGATACATTATCAAATCGTTATTCTCCATGAATATATCCAAAGTCAACAGAACTGAGAAATATTCTACTCCAGAGAAAAGCAAAAACACACACTTACAAGTGAGAGATATCCTTATAAACGATCGAGGAAGATGCAAATTAATCATTTGACTAAATATATTTTATCTCAGTTTTAAAACCAAATTAAACCAATAATGGCAATACCATTAAAATATGCAAATATTTATTATCATAATCTCAATCAAACAATTAACAGTTGTACTGAGGACTTTACCTTTTTGAGCATGAAAGTTATGTAAAACTATTTAATGAGGTGCTGCTTGCTCAAGGTGCCTCTTGCATGTAACAGGCAGTCTGTTAAACCCATGGGCTTTCAAGGCTGGCAAAGGAATTTTGAGGCCAGGTCCGAAGCTCTTACTCTCCAGAGCAGTCTTACTCTTGGGGACCATCCCCTGAAGCCTGCATGCAAGGTTTTGGAGGAGAACCCCGCTGATTTTGCAGGAGTCTCGGTGTGTAAATCGACTGTGCCACCTCGACCTCCGGGGATATCCCCAGGAGCCAGGACTCCTCAGAGAAGTTTGTGTTATAAGATCTACCTCTTTTTCATCACATGACTTCTCTTTCCAAGTAAAGCTTTGCTTAAACTTTAGTAGATGGGGGCCGGTTATCAACTTTAATTGCTTCCACATATCAAAGCAACAGAAGTTGCATTTGATTTCTCCTGTTACACCTTATTACACCCTTTAAATCTCAGTGCTATACTTTTAAGCAACTGACTTGTAAGGGAAGCTTCCCCCCTCGCAGCTTTTATTGCTCTACAGACCCCAGGTTTAATACAAACTCCCAATCTGGCTCCCAAATTGCAAAAATTCATCTCATGCCTACACACGCTCTGTACCGCGACTGTCTCTGGACCCCAAATTAGCCAGCAGTTAAGTTTGCATATTTTCTGCTTATTAAAAAAATTACTGTAAGTACTATTGTGAATATGTTCAGTCTATTATGGCATGTGGTTTCTATTTGGCGAGGCTGGAGATTTTGCGAAGGCAGTGAGTAATTACCTTAGTGTTGGTGAGTTTTCACTCGGGCTTGGGCGGTGTACTGTAATAAGAGACAGTTGCCATAAACAGACTGGTACAAGTAAATCATGGTGTGTGGCCTTCTGGTGGAAAACAGATATCTCCTTTAGGTGACCCTACCTCCCTCCCATCGCTCAGCAAAGCCTACCGAACATGTGGTCTCCAAACCCTTTTGTTCTGCAATTACATGGCTGTTATTCATAGGTTGCTCAGTGGGTTTTCATCCCTTGCAATGTACATTTGAAGAATACCGGTTGGTGTTTTGATTTATCAGAATAAATAGCAACAAAGAGCGTTTGAGAGATTATCTCATTTACGGGAGGTGCCACTTTTAGACTTTTATGTAGGGCATTGACTGCAACAGGACTGTCTGAAGACTCCCTACCTGGCCAGAAGTTCCTGTTTTCTAATAATCATAATCTTAAAGTGCAATTGCTTCACCTGTGATCAGGTTTAAAAATTATTATTGGTATTTATTATTGAATCTAGCTATACACTTTTCTCATTGAAGCAGCCCAAACCTGAATTGTTATCTAACCCAACAACAGATACACAGACTTTGTACAAACGAGTCTTTCAAGCCAATGCTCCCCCTCTCGAGGAATTATCTTAGCGTGCGGCCGTCGCTTTGTCCAGGTGTGGTGTTGATATTTGGGTAAATTACTGTTGAGAGCAGTAAAAGACTAAGCAGTTTAATGGACAAGTAGGGGAGGTGGTCACAAGGTGCCTTTCAAGCCATAGCAGGTGCCTGAAAAGACCACGGTGGAGATCAGCGCTACCAAGAACAGTATTCTTAAATATTTTCTGCCTCTGCTTCCCTGGTGCGAGGGAGAGAAAGCAACCTGCAACATTCCTGTGCACCCAGCTTCCCCATCTCCTAGCAGGATCTGGCTCAGCAGTAAACATAACCCGTGAGACTTTGAGGATCCGATTTACAGCCGGGTACAGAGTCAAGCCCACATACGATGCAAATTTTATTGCTGGAGCAGCTGTTGGCGAAGATCTAATAGCTCAACTCAATCCTTAAATTCGGGGCATGCAAAGGAGCCTCAAGGAGGGCTGAAATTCACTGCCTCTAAGGCTTATTTTCCAACCCCAGCAAAAGTCATGGCATCTGCTGGGGAGACTCTGTGGCCCAAAGTTAACTCCTAAAGCAAAGCAGCCTTTGCTGGCTCTGCCGAAGTCCCCGTGCGCCCCAACCATGGCTTTTTTGAGGTTTCCGCGGAGGAGCGGGAAGGAGAGCAGCCAGCCTGGGGCGGTGCAAAGCAACGGGGCTGCAGCCGCCCAGCCTGGCACGGCTCCTTCTTGCTACGTCTCACTCCCCACGTGCTCCTTGCATCTGTGCGTGGAAAAATATCCCAGGGACAACAGGTACATTTGTACAGCGTACAGTGTCTGCCTGAAAAGGAAAATCAGACGAAGATAACACTTTGCATTGGACTACGCATTACCCGGTGCTCGCTGAGTAACTCACAGCCCCCGTGAAGCCAGTGGGAAATTCAAAATGAGCACAACACAACCTCCTGCTTCCAGATTACACTGCTTTTCGACAGAAAAAAAAAAAAACAAAAAACAAACCACACTTAACCGAAGATGTTTAGTTGAAGACTTACATATAAAAGGTTTGACACTGCTGTGGATGTGTTTATGCTGTTTGAGGCCTGAAGAAGTGGCAAAGGTTTTGCCGCACTCTGGACAAGCGTGAGCACGAGCCCCAACATGCTGGGAACGAATATGCCTCTGAAGGTTGCTGGGGTCCGTGAACACCTGCTAGGAAATGAGTACTGATTAACCAAGAAACTTAACTGCAGAAGAAGCCACTTATTACAAGAGTCTTTTAAAATTCAAACCTTGGAGCTGGTTGGGAGTATTTAAGATTAAGAACCGTGGCGGCATCGCAGCCTCGCTAATGGGCATCAATGGAAGCTGTGCCTGCAGGACGGGGCCTCAGTTTCCCAGGATCAGCCAAGTATTTGGTGGATCCGTTAACCCCTCTGCAGCTGCTGCAGCAGATGCATTTGCCCCTGCCTTTAGAAATTCTGCTTTTGAGGTCAGGGACTTCACAGACACCAAGTCAAAATGTGGCTGCTATCAACCTCTAAGCATTACTGCAATAGAAATACTTTATAGTGACAACTGAGTGCGTGACAGCAAGGAATCCTGTACACGACACAGTCCTAGGACCCAGGGCTAGGTTGTGTCTTACGACTGTCAGCCCAATATGAAATTCCCACTATTGCAGCAAATCTGCTTAAAAACAAGAAAAGTCCTCATGCAAAAGGCTCAAGCTTTGGGAATCTGGTAAAAAGCAATGCAGAGCACCACATCCTTTACAAATAATCTGGATGCTCTGGGGGTGAGATAGTTGCACTCACTTAGTGCAGCTGGAGCCCATCGCTATTTCTTATTTTGATTTATATTGCAGATGGAGACCCACATGCCCTTCATTTCCCTGGGGTATCTTAATGCAGAGCACCACATCCTTTACAAATAATCTGCACAGCAAGCATGGTGCTGGGAAGTGATAGAGAGATGCTCTGGGGGTGAGATAGTTGCACTCACTTAGTGCAGCTGGAGCCCATCGCTATTTCTTATTTTGATTTATATTGCAGATGGAGACCCACATGCCCTTCATTTCCCTGGGGTATCTTGCCCCTCGGTGGTCCTCTTACACCCCGCCAGTCCTTGCAAGGTGCCAAACCCTGAGCTCAGGGATGCTCAGCATCCTGCATCAGCGCTCAGTTCAGACCCCACAGCCATTTCCAAATCAAAGAGAATAGAAAAATAACATGCTTATGAAGGAGAAGTGTAAACCCTTGAGAAACCAGCTGGAGCACGGCAGAAACCTTACACCCTCCTGCATCCCAGCCCTGGGCATCCCCACTTCCATGCTCTCGCGCATCCAGCGGCACAAGAAGCGCCAGGCAGCCTACAAATTCACTGTACCTTGGCACAGTTTTCACACTCGTAGTGCTTCCCGCTGTCGTGCGACATTTGGTGACGTATCAAGTTGGACTTCCAGTTGAACGCTTTGGGGCACTGGTCGCACTTGTACTCCCTCTCCTCGCTGTGCGACAGCATGTGCTTCTCCAGGCTGCGGAAACCGGAACAGAGCTCAGTGAGGTCCCGCACGCGTTTATCAGAGGTTTGCAGATCAGCATAGGAAGAGGAGACAGCAGAGCACATAATTACAGCGCAAAAAAAAATTAAAAGCCCCAAAGGCCCAATCCTGACAGACCCAAGTCCTTTGAGTAGCGGGGTCGCCCCAGCCGGGAGGCAGAACGTCCTCCTCCCGACCAGAATAACCCATCCTTTCGTGTTTTGCCAGGCGGCTTCCGAACGCTCCAGGAGATGCTGCTGCTATCGCTCCCTAAGGAGATTATTTCATACACCTCTCACTGTTTCACTGTGGTAATGCCTCCCTGCAGGCTGAATTATTTCTACGTTATGCCTTCCCCTCTGAACACACCTTGGATCCCACCACCTGACCTAACTCTCCTCCTTTGATAGGAGTCGATTTTTCTTACCCCAGGAATAGATCCAGAACAACTCCACCGGCGTAGGACAAGAGCAGCATATGAAGCCTCTAAATACAGAGCATTACAACTAGAGTCATACTTAGTTATTATCAACTGTGTTCACCCGCATAGCTGTTTATTCATTAGTTTCTTAGTGGCTTATTCAGTCTATTAGTAGGGTATTTAATCCTCTGCCAAATTACTGCTACGCATCTTTGAATTCATTCTTGTCTCCGAATTCTCTGAATTCCTGTTTTATTATTCGTTTGCAGCAAATGTATTTTTTAAACACTTTATTACTTGGCCACATACAAAATCATAACTCGCAGTGTTGCTGGAGGAAAGATCACTACGCAATGCAAGAGTGGATTTGCAGAAAAGCCACTGGAAACGGAAACCTTTGAGTTGGGATGCCACACCAGACCAGTCCTTCCTCACGTGAAGCTCCCACTGATCTCTGCTGAATCAGCGGACAAAACCTGCCGGGTTTACAGTCTGGTTTGGGTTGTGCAGCCCAAAAAGCAACCTTCATTCTCAGCCACAGGTAATGGAAACGCTTTCACCCTATAGATGCTCTTCTCTTCTACCCCTCTCAGACTCCTTCCTTTGGAGGAAAAAAAATCACTCTGGCTTCCCCTCCTCATACCTCTATAAAAATTGACTCTCCATCATGAGCTGGTAAACAAATTTGCTGTAAGACCTAAGGAAACTCTTGTCCCTGGCTCTGGCACCAGCTCCCGGACGCCTGCCGCGGCTACGTGATCTGCCGTCAGCACCGGGCAGCCCTGGCCCCCCAAACCTCTGTCTTCCCGCTCGGCTCTTTCTCCATTTAATTATACACCCCCTCAAGCATGGCTCGTTGGGGCCTTTTGTTTTATATAATCTGGATACAGCACACTTCGGTACTTTTTGCTGTGAACTGTCTTTGTGGTGTATTAGCCTTTCAATAATTCAGGAGTTCGGAGAATGGCTGCATTCTCTCCCATTTTTCACTCTTTCTCACCGTACTGCCCATCTATTTGCGATGACTCGTTCTTTGTTTTCTGCCCTTTCTCTTCAATATTTAATATTTTAAGCTAAATTTACATTTCCTCAGTGATTCCCATATGTTAGATACCATCCTCTGGTTCACAGGCAGAAAAGAACTTTAACAGAATAACTCACGATGTGGAAAAATGTTGCAGTCCGGCCTCCTGCCTCACCCACTCTGCTGCGACCCTTTCGACTTGCTCTACCTACATCAGCCCCTTCGGATCAATCACTCAGATTAAAAATTAGACATGCAGAGCCGCATACGGCTCAACATCAGCCAGCGAATAAGACCTTGTGCCTCCACAAATTCCCACTCAGCAGGGTTGACCTCGTACGCGGGGAGCAACGTTTGGCACATCATGTTTTAATTTTGGCATCATTAATTTTGCGGAAGCGTTGAGGATCGGGTCATGCGACACGCTGATCTGAGACCCTCCGCGTGATGCCGAGCAATCTCCGCTCCATCAACAGGAGCTAAGGAGCATCTGTGTTTTGGGAGAGGTGGCTCCATCTTGCAGGGTCAGCAACCTGAAGCATCCAGGAGCAGTTGTGCAACGGGGCTAACCCTGGGCATGCACAACCCTGTGCCAACCTCCGACAGACACCACAACGTCCTGAGCCATGGACTAGTAAAGATGTCTATGAAAAATATGAACCCACAAAATACTCTAAATTGACAAGTCGATATTTAAGGGGCATATGATTATCAAGCAATGCAAATAAATGCACTGCTCTACCCAAAAGGGCAGTTAGTAGTTACTTAAGCTGTGCCCACGCAACGTGGAGAAGAAGGAAGATGCTATGGGAGTGTGGGAGCTGTGCTACAGACTCTGGCTGAAAGCAAGAGATACTGGCCAGGTCTGCTGCTGCTAGAAGCCACCCTCCTAAGAAAT